CCTTCACAGATGCTGCCAGACCTGCTGAGCTTTTCCAGCAACTTTGTTTATGTTCCTGATTTACAGCATCCGCAGTTCTTTTGTTTTTTATTTGTATAGATATTAATGTTGGCTTCAGTGGCCCTGGAAAGCAAGGGAGACAGGGGTGCTGGGGAACCCAGGATTTCCTTATCCTGATCACTATTGAGTGATCCTTGCCTGAGGGTAAGGTAGGATAGAGCTTATGCAGATGAGCTTCACATTTGATGGTAATTCAACGGAAGGACCTCAAATGCATTGCAGAAAGCATAGACTACGTTCTTGTCTTTAGCTGATAACAGTTACACAATAAACTCCTTTTTGCCAATGTGGTGATACCAAATTTTCTCAGCTGCCTGCTGCCTATTACTGACATTATCTGTACATTATCCACTCCTCACCCAGCCTGTTTGCTGCTGAAACTCCCTTCAATGGTTTTGGTACATCCAGTCCAAACTCTGCCTCTTGCTCAGTCTTGAGCCAAAGCATTGTACCATGAAGTCTTATATGAATATAACCCCTCTGTGTTTGTTAGATCAATCCAATACAGACTGACATCGAAAATTGTCATTGGCGCTTTCAGTGGCTTTCTCTAACGTATCTCTGTAACCTGCAGCACTCCTTACCATCAGGAATGCTGGATTTCTCTGACTCTGCCCCCTTCTGCAAAGCTCTTCCCTTCACCCCACCTTCAGTCACCTACACATCAAGCTCTGTTCCTCACTGACAAACTCTCTCTGCTTCCTTGAAAACACTTGAAAAAAAAATGACATATTTTCCAAAGACTTTTCCCAGCCATTAGCTCACTAGGCAGGACGGTTGGTTTGTGATACAGAGTAACACCACCAGCCTGGTTCAATTCCCACGCTGGCTGAGGTTAACATGAAGGACTCTCCTTCTCACTCTCTTCCCTTCTCCTGAGATATGGTGACCCTCAGCTTAAACCACCACCAGTTGTGTCTCTCTGTAATAAGAGAATAGTCCCATGGTCTGGCAAGACTATGGCATCCTCACCTTTCTCTTTATCTCCTTCCTTGACTCAGTTCCAATTTCTTTTGCCAGATAGAAGGGTCTGGGGTCATAGGACATTATATAATTTCAAGTGATGCTATATAAATTCAAGTTGTTATTCTTTAGTTCATCTCATACGTGAGCTATATCATTGGGTTTTGGGTTGTGTACACTGCTCTAAGTAACTGTATACATGAAAAACAGCCACTAAACAGGAGTTGGAAGGAGAAGTGGACATCTTATAATAGATGTGGAAGATTGATATATTGGACGATTTCTTCAGGTTAGAAACGTCTGATGCAGTCCTTCCTGCAAATACAAATTTATCCATAATTAGTACCAGTGAGTCAATACAAGATGTGCTTCAGGCAATACATTCAAAACTAGATCATTTCCCTATAACATAGTAAGAACTGCAGATGCTGGAGTCAGGGAGAACACAGTATGGAGCTGGAGGAACGCAGCAGGCCAGGCTGCTGATTTTCTGAAGAAGGGTCCCGACCTGAAACGTCAGCTTTCCTGCTCCTCTGATGCTGCCTGGCCTGCTGTGTTCCTCCAGCTCCACACTGTGTT